CCATGCCCTCCCAACGCCACTGCGCAGAGACCTTCACCCGATGATCGAATGCCGCCATTGCATCGATTGAGCGCGGGATTTTAAAATAAATTTTGGTATAGGTTTTTCTCACTAGGGTACACTGCCCCCCTCCACAAAGTTTCACGACCTTGAGGAAACGACCAAAGTCCTGAAACCGTCTCTGTGCCCCTGACTCTCTGAGGCCGCAGCTCCTCTTCTTGTGTTACTGTAGCAGGGCTATCTGAATGCAAATCTTGCAGCTCAAGAACCGGTGTGGCACGTTGGACTGCCAGGGGACTGGAAGTGCTCGACTGGGGTCCTGCCTCGTCCTCCCAGGGTAGGCATTACTTTAGAGGAGCCCGTGCCGAGGCTGCAGCGGCACTTCACCTGTAAAGTGCCAATCTATCTCAGTGCCCTTTATATCAGCCCATTCTCATCCCTAGGCGTCATGAAACTGACGCCTCGGGAATCATTTTGACCATGCTTCAATATTTGACGCTTTAGGCACCCTTTAGCGTCAGTTACATGACGCGATCCTAGGGCGTCATCTTACTGACGCTTTACCTTTAACGTCAGTTAGATGACGCTATCTAATCCTAACCCTACCCCAGACCTAAACCTACCCGCGTCATCTAACTGACGCTAAAGGTAAAGCGTCAGTAATATGACGCCCTAGGATCTCGTCATGTAACTGACGCTAAAGGGTGCCTAAAGCGTCGAATATTGAAGCATGGTCAAAATTGTCATTTTAGTGACGCCTTGGGATGAGAATGCGTTGTTTATATAGGCAACTAAACACAGTAAACAACTTCTCCAATTCTCTCCTGTACAGTGCACGGCCCAATCCACTTGGAGTCAAGTTTAGGGCACCTGCCCTTCTTTCTCTGAGGGTACACCCACACCAACTCTCCAGCTGTGATATGTTGCCCTTTTATGTTCAGGTCATAATTCTGCTTCTGCTGGGTCCCTGCTTTCAACAACTGCTTCCTCACAAAATTATGAGCGGCTTCCGATGAGTCCTGAAGCGCATACTCAGGGCCCGGTGGCACCACAGGCGCATCAGGTGGTCTCCTGAAAGCCATTTGCCCTGGAGTTGGGCCAGCTGTTCCACCAGTGTCCTATTAAACCTCGCTACAAAGTCATCGCTTTGGGGGTGCAAAGGGGTGGTCCTTGTTTTGTGAATTCCCAATTTTTCGCACATCTGAGAAGACAGGTGACTCAAAGTTCTGGCCTTGGTCGCTGTGTATGGATTCAGCGACCCCGATCCGCCTCAACATGCCGTCTAATAACGCATCTACAACTGTCTCGACTTCTTAGTAAGGCAGTGCATAAGCTTCTGGCCATTTAATGAAATAATCCATTGCTGTCAGCACAAACCTGTTACCCCTCTCTGAACGTGAGAAAAGACCCATTACATTCACCCCCACCCCTAGGGAACTGTTAGTGGAGTGAGGGACTCGCTAGGTGGGCCCTAGCGGGCAGTACAATCATCGCACCGCTGACAAAAATCATCTACATGTCTGAAAAACCCCAAAGTGTCCAGACCCCACTACAACCCCAAAGTGTCCAGACCCCACTATCCCTTGGGTAGCCCTGATAACCCCCTTACGCAGTGACCTGGGCACTACCACCTGCAACCTAATAAATTATCCCTAAAATCTGAGGAAATTATAGGTGAATAAAACTGATGTAGATGCAGCTATAATCTTGTCACATCCACCAGCTGGAGTGCCCATGATACCCACCAGAGGGCACTACTCCGGAGTCCTTTGCTTTCCTACCATGAACTGCATTTCCCATAATCCTTTGGCTGAACTCATTATGTGTGATTAGGTTCAGCTGTGTCTCATTATCCTGTTAAGCTCAGCCTGTTTAAGCCCTGTGTCTTCATTCAGTCTTTGTGAAGTCTTGTTACACTGCAATTCTGAGTGCAATCGCTATGGTTTCCTATGTCATGGTTCTTGATCTACTGCTTTGTTTTCTGGATTTCCCTGTTTGCCTGTGTTTTCTGCCTGGCTGTTTATTTGCATTATTTGCCCTGTGTTTTTTTGACCACACTTCTGGATTACCCTAATAAATCTGCATTTGGATCTTCAGCCCAAGTCCTGGAGCACTATGTGACACCCTGGTATTAAGACTAAACTTGACATAAACTGTAAACTGTCCCTCAAATCTGATTGGTTAACTGGAATGTTGTTCCAAGATCAAAAAAGATGCACTTGGTGAAATCAGGTTCTGTGAAATGCCATGCATCACTTTGTGTTTGTGTTGATGTAACAACCCATTAGGTGGGTGCAGACCTGACTCTGGAGATAAGTTCTATCAGGGGGCCTAATCACGGGGAAGTGTTTAATTGAGGATTCTCAGCTGGCTGAGCAGCCAGTCTGCTTTTATCTCCTGTTCGTGAAAGGCTCATAACTCAAACTCCTCTCTGTGCTTCATTTGCTTCTCTGCAGGTGGTTGTGCTTGTATTTTTAAGCTGCATATACCTGAATGTTTATATAATCAATGACAGAAATGCTCAGATGTTGTGATAAATACAAAATGTACATGCTGCTCATGGTTTTGGGTTTGTATTTTTGTAGACTGAAAAAACAGGGTGCTAATGATTCTAATCTATGGGCTATTGCCAAATTCAAAATACAACAAAATTAAACAAAAATGATGCAAAGAATATGAATTAGGGGTATCCAGTATGTAGCCAACTAGGCCTATATTCAACACAAACTATGCTGTCTTGTATTAAATGTTTCGGTGTGAGGAATCCTCATTTTTATTACCATTTTTGAAAAAGTAAATGAACTTTTTAATTATTATTATTAATTTTTTTTGTGGCTGAATTAATGCACAGGCTGAATCCCATGTGCCACAAAAAAACAACAACATGTCAGCACAAAATGTTTGCTGGGAGTTTATTCCCTGTATACCCTGCCAGCGTACTTTAGGGGTTGTTATAAATCCGCTTTAGCCAAAGTTGAGAGTGTTTGTGTGAACCCTCTTTTGGTGGATTAGCAATGCTCTTTCTCTGTAATGGAAACTGCGGCGGCTGGTGCTAGCATGGTCAGTTTAGTGAGTTTGGATTTATTTTGCTGAACAAGCTGATCTGTCACTTTGAGCTTTTTCATGGCTTGAGAAATACACATTAAGCAGTGTTGTGTTGAAGGCAGTCAGTGATAGGCACCTCATTATTGCCCAAAATGGGAGACAAGGTGGATCAGTGCAAATCAATTAAATGTGGAAAAAGTTTACAAGTGTGGTAATGGTGGACAAAGACTTCAAAAAGTTCAAATGCAAGTTCGATATTTTTTTGTTACCCGGCTTGAAATACCTGCTTTATAAATAATACATGGTTTTCAAACTGAATTGCTTACTCTTTCTTTTTCATTATAGGCTAGTGTATTTTTCCTGAGGAAGCTTTTCATTAATGATTTCAATTTGACTTCGAAAATAAACAGTAAATCCTCATAATAGTCGTCATAATAAATCCTCATATTGCTGGCAAGGTGAGTGTGTAAGTTGCTAAATGTAGTAAATAGTTTTGTCCCCTTAAGAATATGTTCATGATAGATCTTTTTTTGTGACCAAGAATATTTTTTGTCACCATACGCAGGATTATACTGCCTCCTGCTGGAAATATTTAATCATTAAAGGTGATTTATCCTAGTTATTTTAGCGCCCTCCTGTGATTCTATTCTATTCTATTTGTTTATTTATCATCCCATGTCTCCCCAAATCATTAAAAAAAAATTACTTCATTACAAAAAAAAAAAAAAAAGTTAATCTTATACATTTCCTTAATACATTGGATAAAAGTACCATTTTCGCTATGTGTATTAACTAACATAAAAAAAAACTAGAAATAGATGTTTCTTCATTGTTATCTCTCTTTCTGGAAAAGTCTTATCTCTTTATTTCCATTCTTAGAATCCTCTTTGTTTTCATGTTCAATTATATAGCTAAATTCCTCTAAATTGCAATATATATATATATATATATATATATATATATATATATATAAATGTTACAGCTCTAGAAAGGTACTGCATACAAAAAATAACTTAAAAATAGGTTATTTTACAAGCTCTGACACGTTTTGTTTTCCTTTCTAAATATGTGCTGAGTAGCCAAAAATAACAGTGATAAAGGGAAGTCTTTAAACATTATGAACAAATGTTGTTGTTGTTGTTTTTTATGAACAAATGTGTAACTAGGTGTAGGTGTAGGTGGATCATAGACTGATATGGATGCCCATTTCCACCACATAAGAAAAAAGTCCTGGTTAGTCGTACAGATAAAGTCGAAAGTATTAGACAAAAAGTAAAAAATAAGATTGAAATTAGGACATAGTAATTATGAGATAAAATCAAAATTGACCTATGTTATAAAAAGTTGACAAAATTCGATGGGTCATTTCTTGACTTTTTATCTTATAATTTATATGTCACGACATTTTTCTCATAATTATGACTCAGTATGTCATAAAAAGTCATAATTATGACAAAATTCAATATTATATCGAGTAGCTGGCGCAAATGGGCTTAAGAAATTCCAACCATTGGTCAGACGCTGAAATAGCAGAAACAAAACCTCGTGGTTATTTTATGTATAGTGGTGGCTTGTTAACAGGTGTCGTGACAGCTCCCTCGTGATTCCCTCGCTAGCCAAACTACACACAACCACAGCGAACATTATCCATAGAGACAAAATCAAAACAAGTGAACTTGAACTTCCTTGTTTATCACGTGTGCTGAGGGAAGCTCAAGCCGCAGAATGGAGGGGGGCTATTAGTGCTGCGGATGTACTCATAAACAAGCACAGCCAAACGAAATCAATTAAATAACAATTAATCCATGTCGCGGTTATGTTAATTAATATTTAAAATAAAATAAAACGTCTGTTAACATTTCTTAAAAAAAATAAAGATGCATAACATTATCCGTGTCCCACTTACATTATGGTACATTCCGCCCTGAAGCTCATTCTCATTTCCCTCACCGGCTCCTTCCGCAGTTGAATGACTGAACCTTTGGAAAACTTCGCGGGCAGACAATGAAGCTAACGTCGGTTCCTAATATTTTGGTTATATCTTTATTTATTTTCTCACAGTTTGTTCATGGGGTAAGAATGAATGCGGTTGCTGCACCAGAGTGATCTATACTTCATTATAAAGTTTATTAGGCTGTTTTGAGAGCTGTTTTCTACTGCTGGTGTCATGCTTTACTCATTACTTCTATTATTTGCAGCTGGATGATTGCAGAAGTGGAATGTTTCCACCTAAAGGACCAACGTACTGCTGTTACTCTTTTCATATGTCCAATTATTTGTGCTCCTACATTTCATATACTTCTTTGTGGTCTTGTCTGATTATCTGATTTGATACCATGTTCAACTTCTCTTGTCATTTATCTAGGTTTAAAGGTAATGTGAGCTGGTACACTGTAAATCTCGATTTACCCCCTAGTGAGAGATGGACGCAAGTGATCAAAGATAAAAACACAGAGGTAACTGTCTCCTTATAATGCATTACCTTTTAGGGCTCGGACCTTTGTTTCTGTCAGTATTGTACATGTTTTAAATGCTGATTCTCTGCTGTCTCGTGTCTGGAGGATGCAACTGTCTTGTGTGTCCTGTCTTGTTAAACAAGAGGACTGTGATTGTTTTTACATCATCAACAACATTAAATCATGTTGATTTTCAGTTGTTCACAATGGTACAGACAATAAAAGACATCGCCAAGGGCTTTTTCCATGGAAAACTTATTGATTTAGTGGACGAGGAGCTGGTAAGCAATTAAACGTATGAACAAACTCAGACATTTATAAAAACTCTTTGGATACTTTGATTGTGTTTATATATACTGTATATATACAGTACTGGTCAAAAGTTTGGAAACATTACTATTTTTAATGTTTTTAAAGGAGTCTCTTATGTTCATCAAGCTTGCATTTATTTGATTATTGTGAAATAGTATTACAATTTAAAATAATGGTTATCTATTTTAATATACTTTAAAATATAATTTATTTCTGTGCTGCAGAGCTGAATTTTCAGCAGCATTTTTCCGGTTTTCAGTGTCACATGATCCTTTAGAAATCATTATAATATGCTGATTTATTATCAATGTTGGAAACAGTTGTGCTGCTTAATATTTTTTGTTTATTTAACCTGAGATAAATAAAAAGTTAAAAAGATCAGCATTTATTTAGAATAGAAATCTTTTGTAACGATACACTACCGTTCAAAAGTTTGGGGACTATTATCTTTTTATTTTTTTTAAAGAAATTAGTACTTTTATTCAACAAGGATGCGTTAAATTGATAAAAAGGTGATAGTAACGATTTATATTGTTAGAAATGGTTTTATTTTGAATAATTGCTGTTCTTATGAATAAATGCTGTTAACGTTTTATTAATCAATGAATCCTGAAAAAAGTATCGCAGGTTCCAAAAAAATATTAAACAGCACAACTGTTTCCAACATTGATAATAACTGAGTATCAAATCAGCATATTAGAAGGATTTCTGAAGGATCATGTGACACCGAAGACTGGAGTATGCTGATGAAAATTCAGCTTTGATCAAATAACTGCAGGCTTGATGAGCATAAGAGACTTCTTTCAAAAACATTAAAAATAGTAATGTTTCCATTTCCAAACATATTGTATACTGGTACTGTATATTGATATTTTGTTATTTTATATATTTCTCATTGTTTCATAGCCATTGATTGTGGACACACTTCCACACCCTTTCAATGAAGAAATTAAGGGAATAGCAGCTGTTTCTGGCATCCCTCTGGGTGAGATTTTTCTCTTTTGATTATTTTTGTTATTCTTTAATAATAACAACATTATTAAACATGTTAATAATGGGGGGAACTAGACAATATACTAAACAATATAAAATCAAAGAACACACAAACAACAATGGTACAATCCATCAAAACAAAGGCACTCACTAATGTAGCTAATAATAGGACCCCAACTTGAATCTATGATTTTATTTTATTTTTATACCCCTCTAGGTGAGATTACGCTGTTCAATATCTTTTATGAGGTTTTCACTGTTTGCACATCACTTATTGCAGAAGACTTTAATGGTGAGAAGATATAAATCAGTTGACATAATGTTTTTGATCAAATTAAATGACACATTTAGGTGTTTTATTGTGTATTTTCTTCTTTTTGTTCAGGAAATATTTATCATGCCCGGAATTTGGACTTTGGGCTATTTATGGGGTAGGATGTGTTTATTTGCCAGATATTTGAGGACACATTGAATTTTCTGCAGCATACATACTCTTCAAATAAAGTCATAAGAATATTGTGTTTTTCATGAAGGTGGGATCGACAGAATAAAACATGGACTTTAACCGAGAAGCTTAAACCTCTTGTGGTAAATGTCAATTTCGAAAGGAATAACAAAACCGTGTTTAAATCAACAAATTTTGCTGGATATGTTGGCATGCTCACTGGAGTTAGACCTGTAAGTGAGTAAACATAAAAAATATGATAGTTGTGTTTATTTAAATGTAAAGCAAGTAACTGTTTTACTTGTTTAGGGTGAACTGACCCTAACAATGAACGAGCGTTTCAACTTTGATGGGGGTTATATTGGTAAGATTTTATTAAAAAGATCTTGACAAATGAAATCTAGGTGGCAGTTCTGCTTGAATGTTAAAAGTTTGTAAACAACTAACTACAGTATACACAACAGTATTCATTTCTTCTCAAGATTAGCTACAAATCATGGGTGCTAGATGTTCTTGATGGTTGACAGGTTAGATAACATAATGAACTCTCACAGGGATTCTGGAATGGATTATTGGCAAGAGAGATGGAATGTGGATGGGTTTTCTTACTCGCAAAGTCCTGGAAAATGCTACAAGGTAAATTCAACAACACTAGCGTAACATGAAAGCACAACTTCATTGATTTTGCTGTCTTAACCTAGAGTCACATAGTTTTAAGTCAACAGTATTATTGTAATAACAAAATAGCTTTATCAGATTAAGAAAAATTTACACAGTGACCAGCATATGAAAATTGCCTTTATTCTAATAATATTAAAACTGTGTTTTAGATTTTGTAAGCTTATAATTATTATTATATTATTATTGTTAATAGTATTTACTTATTTTTCCATGGTAAAAAAAAAACTTTTTGGCCAAATAATTTTGTCAGATAAATAGCTTAACCAAGTTTAGTGTTTTGTTCTTCCCTCGTATTTAAAATATTAAAACGATTTCCATGGTTTAATCAGACTTGTAGGGTCATTAAAAACAAATATCCCTTATGGACATCACTTCTGGCCACTACTGTGTGTGTGTATGTGTATGTCTATGTATATGTAGCTTATATTCAAAGTATAAACAGGAGAAAACTAATCGGCAGCCTATTTTTTATTTTCTTGCAGTTACGAGGATGCCAAAGCCCAGCTCTCTCTGACGAAACTGCTAGCACCTGCTTACTTCATCTTGGGTGGTAACCGAACGGGACAGGGTTGTGTGATAACCAGGACTAGAATAAACACGTTAGACATCTGGGAGTGAGTAAATTGTATCACATTTCTATCTGCAATGTTTAAAACTGCCCTCTGAATTTGTTGTTACGGTTGGTGATGTTTAAGACTTGATATGGAGCTTGGGAGATGGTACGTCCTGGAAACGAACTATGATCACTGGGAAAAGCCTATGATCTTAGATGACCGCAGAACACCGGCAATGAAGTGCATGAATCAAACCACACAAGCGGTATGTGGCATTTTGTTTTAGAAATAAAATGGCTTTTTTGTAGCAACTTATAGTTGAATTAGTTTACAAGCACTTTTAAAATGAGCTTAATTTGTAGCTGAACTTTCATAAAGACATGTTTAATAATGGACAACAATATTTTTTTAATTTCCACAGAACATTTCTCTGTCATCAATATATGATGTTCTGTCAACAAAACCAGTTCTTAATAAGGTAAGTCTGCCTTTCAAATGAGTTAACAAAAGCCTCAAACTATATATGTCATGCTTTTTGTTTTAATTTATTTATGTATGCTATGAGTAAGAGAGTGTGTTTGATAACATTTCTGCATCAAATGGTCAAGTGTCGTATAAAGTCATAATGAAGCCATTTTCTGTCCTGTCTTCACAGTTGACAACCTACACCTCATTAATGGAAGTGTCAACTGGAACTCTGGAGTCTTATATCAGAGACTGTCCAAATCCATGTACACCGTGGTGATCTGCCATCATCTCTGAACGAGCTGAGGCGTCAGGCATATAGAATACTGTTCTTGATCTGTTATTACAGGGCCAATGTACATGTACAGGAAGGTGTAAAAAAAAAAACGTAATGGTCGCAATTCTACCTCTGAACTTTCACATATCTGTTCTCATGGAAGTCTGTTATAACTGATAACTTTGTAACTATAATTATGACTGCTTTATCACTGCAACACATTGTGAAAATCATAAATGTTTCTCTTGCATAACAAACTTTGAGTAACCACACATTTTAAATAGAAATGTTTTTGTGTGCTCTTCGATCTGCATGTGCATACATAAGTTAATTTCAATAAGTGCTGCCTTTTTCTGTAAGGAAATAGATTTTTCTGAAATCCTTGGTGATGTTAAAAAGTATTTTTGTAATTTATAAATGTAGGTCTCTTTCTGGGATTTTGTTAAATGTGTAAATTACGGAAATGAAAATTTAATTTTTTTATTTTATTTTTCTCAAGTTTAATATATACAACTGGTAATTCTATAATAAAATGTTGCTTCAATAAAGGCTAGACATCTTTTCAGCCTCATTGCTGGTCTATGTTGTATTTAAATTGAGGAATTTGCAGGATTTTATGTGTAATTTTACACCTTTAACCGATGCAGTTCAGCTATATGTTAATTTCCTGTAAGTTCTTCTACCTCTGCAGCTAAAAGATTTCTCAATAACAGTGCATTCATTCATGTGAAATAATACTTTCAGCGTTGTTCCTTTTACTCTTCATACTGTTCTATTTATTCTTATTACGGTAGATACCTGACAATATACATGATTTAAATTTAACAGCATAGGGAAGGTGCCTTGCCAGAAAAAGAAAAATAGCAGATTTACTTTTACTTTTGTTGTGTATGCATGTCTACCATCAGTACAAAACATACATTATGTTTGGGTGAAACACTCCTCTCTCTATCAATGTGCTTCACACATGTTTTTCCCATTTTGACTTTATGGGTGAATCAAATCAGGTATTTGTTCCTGTGGATCAGACATTCTTGAATCATTGTTCTATTTATTTTTAAATCAATATTCTCATGTTTTATATTCAATAAATATAGGCTATACATAAATAGAAGTTACACAGCATTCTGACTTTTTCATTTAAAGTAACTTCTTAACTGGAGTGTCATTAATTTGTCCATTAATTTTACTTGAACAAATTGAAGTTCAAACTTACCATCATTTTTTACTGTCTTGGGACAGTTTTAGTGTTGCTTTTGATGTTAAATGTTTTTGGGAGCTGTTTGTAGTTATCTGCACATCTGTTTTGATCCAAAGTGACTCAGCTCAAAGTAGTGCACTTCCAACCACAGGAAATTTGGTCAGGCACCAGAACAGACCTCAGGAGCATTTGTACAAGCTGTTGAGTCTGTAGTTCTTCTTTAGTGCACAAATTGAACTGAACACAAGATCACTTGGTGTACGATCTTCCATCTTTAAATTCGACATTAAATGAGAACATCTACGATGTCAGTTTTGTTCATCATATGGATGCTTTGTACTCTGGATTTGTCAGACTCTGTAAGTGTCTTACAATTCATTCTGCTTTCTTGTGTGTTGACATTACCTTTAGTTACAGGTCAATTAAAAAATGTTTATTTTATGGTGAATTTACAGCTGTCATTCTGTGTGTCGTGTGCATTTAGGCACCTGACGAATGTCAAGATGAGATAGAGCGTCTTCGAGCGGAGATGAAAAATTTGGAAGTTCGCCATTCAAAGCAACATCAACTTATTCAACGATTAATGAATCTCAACCAGATGAATGAACGTTCCCTAAAAGAGGGCTCAATTTATGACATGGGAGACAAACAGTACATGGGTCAAGGCTCTATATTATTTTATTAAGATATGGTATTCACTGTCCTTGTGTAAATATGTTGTATTTTGTTAGTACTGTAAAGCAGTACTAACAGAAATCAATCTGCCATATACAGATTGTGCTCAGATCTTCAAAAATGGCAGCATGCAGAGTGGATTTTACATGATTAAACCACTGCTTAGTCCAACCCAGATCAGAGTCTTCTGTGATATGACAGAGGGGGGTGGATGGACAGTCTTCCAGAGACGCTCAGATGGCAAGGAGTCATTTGACCGGTATGGAAAAGTTCATTGTTGTGACTATGAGAAGAGATGTGCTTTTAAATAAATAAATTAAACATGAATTTTTTGTTTTACTTTTCTTTCTTTTTTTTAGAGATTGGAATGATTATAAAACAGGATTTGGTGACATGAAGTCTCCTAATGGAGAGTTCTGGTTAGGGAATGATAATCTCCATTATTTGACATCTCAAGGTGAGTAAATCTATACATCTGAAATGCATACAAACTGAGACAGATGTAATGCGTCATGCTATGCCATAATTTATCTGAATTATATTATATCAAGATGTTGAATGCTTGATTCTGATTGGCTGATGAACGTAAGGTGTGCAATTATTTTCCAGTAAACGCACAGCTAAAGTAGTTCCAGGCAGGTCTTGACTGGATTACACTTCCATATCACTTCGCCAAATGATTTCAGTTATTTCAAAGGTCCTTACAGCCTTAGAGGCTGCAGTCTTTAGCCTCCTTGTTAAAGTGCCTGACTCCCACGCTGGAGACCCGGGTTCGAGGCCCACACAGAGGGGGGCGAGTAGGACCTGGGTGAGGGGTTACACTTGACACAGAAGAACAATGAACACACATTTAATAAACACCAGGAACTAAACTGAGATACATACCAGCATGAAACGTTAACAAACAAAAAAAAACAGACGAAGCCTGATTTAAATAGTCCAGGAGGGTGATGGAGTGGAGGCTGAACAGGGGGAGGAACGGAGGGCCTGGCCCGTGTGGCAGAAGTAGGCCTAGAGAACAAGGCGGAGCCGGCAGTTCAGGAAACCATGGAAGAGCTGACAGTTCAGGGAGCCAAGGCAGAGTTGGCGGAGCAGGAGACCTCCAAGGTGGAGCTGAAGGTGCAGGAGACCACCATGGCGGAGCAGAAGACCATCACAGCACAGCAGAGCCGACGGGAAAGGAAGAACTAGCAGTCACCGCTGGAGCTGTAGAAGTGTGTGTGGCCCAAACACACAAGATGCAGTCAGCCATCACAGACAGATGACAATAGTAATAACTCTGAGACCACCACACTTGGCGGCGCAGAGACCACCACCGGGTTCAGTATTCCAGCCGCTCGCACTGACCTCAGTTGTGGATCCATCACACTAGCGGTCAGTCTCATTTGTCCCGGGACTGATCCAGTGATCGAGGAGATCCATGGAGAACCAATCTCCACGGCTGTAGGAGACCAGTACACATAGCCTTCACCTCCGAAAAAATCCTCAGGGGAAACTTGACGTGTGCTGGTTATGACATGCGGAGACTATGGCATGGCGGCCATGACGTGTCGAGACTCTACTGCAGGATTGCAGGATTCAGCCTTATTCAGCCAGGGAAAAACTGATCTTTCCCTCTGGCATCCCCAAACGAATGATTAGGCTAAGACCGCACAGAATATGTCCTTGAGAGTGATTTCATTAAAGTCAGTGTAGCAGTGTAACAGTTGGCATAACTTCTCTACATACTCCTCTATGGTGAGGTCGCCCTGACGAAGGCACAAGAGGCGAACTGCTGGTCCAAACCTTTTCTTTTGTATGGTCTTGTGTTCTGTCACACTCTGGCTTGACTTGATAAAATATGCTTGACGCAGAAGAATGATGAAAACACATTTAACAAACTCCAGGAACCAAACAGAGATACATACCAGCACGAAACATTAACACAAAACAAAGAACAAACGAAGACTGAGGGTTTCAAGACACAAGATGACAAGGGGCTAAATGAAGGAAAGCTGTAGGTGATTAGATAACATGGTAACAGACAAAGATAACTATGGAAACAAACAAGATTAAAATGGAAACAGGAACTAAATCACAGGAACTAAAATAAAACAAATAAAAGCAAATAAATATAACAAACAATAGGATAAAAATATTTGTTTAATAATTTAACAGCCCGTCGTCAATTATTTCTTACTTCATATTATATTATGTTATTTCTCTTTCAGTTTTCACTAAAACACCTTCTGTTATGCAGATGATTACACCCTGAGAATCAATCTGGAAGATTTTGAGGGCAGCCACCGTTTTGCAGTGTACAGAAAGTTCAAATTGGATAATGAACAGGTTTTTATTATTTTTTTATTAATCTCTTCATATTTGTGATTAATGATGTGTGAAAGCCCATGATGAACCAACAGATGGCTTGTGAAGTTTCTAATAAATCACTGTTCTATTTTCATTAAGAACAAAAAGAAGGGGTTACACAATATCTCTTTTGTAATACACAATATTATACTTCATTTCAAAATATCTCATTTGTCTTTTCAGAACCACTACCAGCTCCAGTTTGGTGTATACACAGGAAACGCAGGGGACGCTCTCTCTGGCAGTTATCATCCTGAGGTTCAGTGGTGGGCCAGCCACCAAGGAATGAAGTTTAGCACACGAGACAGGGATAATGACCGCTACGACCGCAATTGTGCTCAGGAGGACAAGGGTGGCTGGTGGTTTAACAGGTTTGCGTCTAATAACTTTGACAGAGCTTTTCACATAACAATGACAATTACAACACAGGTCATTTTTGTGTATGTAGGGCAGTTCTTCTCAAGTTCATACTAGTAAACACAGTAGTTCATCACATTTTTATGTTGTTTCACCTGTATTCCTCTAGATGTCACTCCGCCAATCTGAATGGATTTTACTACCGAGGACCCTACAGCGCAGTCACTGATGATGGAATAGTGTGGTACCCATGGCATGGCTGGTGGTACTCCCTCAAATCTGTCCAGATGAAGATCAGACCAGCCATTTTTGAGCCTAATGATGTTTAACTCATGGATCTGATATCTAAACTACGAAGGCGATGAATTAGTGGATGATGGCAAATAACATATAGTCCATCTTAGTGGTCCAATTCTTAACTATTTACATACGTAGGCCTAGTTCAAAAAGCTCTTCTACTGCATGTAGCGCAATAAAAATTTCAACACATCCTTGCTGCATCCTTGTGTGTTCTATCATAGTATCTTTAATTTGATTTATTTGAAGAAATAAATAAACATTTAAAAATAAATCAAAGGTTTCATTTAAAATATCATTTCTTTAAATTAAGAATAGAACATAGAATTTAACTGCCACAAAAAAAATTGTAACTACAAATTCTAAGACGTTTTCTTTGTCTTCATAAATTATAGCAATATCTGTCATGGTAAATGTAATTAACACCCAATGAATATAAATCTTTTTTCTTTTTTTAGCAAGATATTTAATAGACTATTGAGTAAATATTGAACCATGGTTTAGATGTGCCTAATTTTCTTTCATGTAGCCTATAATAGGCCTAGTCCTAGTGAGTGACAGTACACTGTAGCGGCTCGTGTCTTTCCTGCAGTGACGTCATTTAAGGTGAGCGCGAGCTCACCTGAGCTCTCACCTGTACTTTGCAAGCGCTGCTGTTAACGGTAGACATATATCTGAATTCGAGTTTAATCCCACTCGCGACGTGCGGGGTAAGTACACAATGCTACCCAAAGAAGTTGAGCAGTCAGTGTAAATATGTACCTTTCTAAACAACCTCTTGTACCATACATTTCATCCGTGATTTAGTAGCGCGAGGCATGTTTTTGCTGTTACTCGTGTCGCGTGAGTTGTGTTCCATCATCCATGGCTTTAGTTTATGTTTTTATTACGCCTACTGAATGTTCATTTAGTCTGTATTGTCTGTGTCCATTTATTCAAAGGGATCGTCTTCTTGTATAGCTTTACAACTTTGTTTACTCGACGTGTTATTTATAGACCGAGCTGCCAGAGATCCCAAACAGGCCTCTGATATTTCTCTGTCAGGTGCACAAGACAATTTAAAGGCAGCGATCAGGAAATAGATTACGGCTCAGAGGGTATGAGGGAGAAACATGAGCTGGGCAGGAATAAGTTAGTAGATTTTAAGGCATCCAATAAGCTTGTTCCCCCCACCCCCCAACATGAACCAACCTATGTTTGCCATACTCTTATGAATATTATTTAGTTCATATTGGTTCGATATGGTATAAATGCACCGTTAGTGGGACCTATGTTCTTGTCTTGACCAGATGTGGTGTTCAGAAACTGGGGAAACATAGCTCAAAGGGCACAAGCTTTGAATTCCACAGCAGGTTTGTTGTGCAGGTGCAGAATTATCAGGTTATTTAAGCTTTGCTTAGAAATATATTGTAGCTATCTCAAGTAGAATGGTGCATCTGGAAAAGAACAGATGTTTTAAATGACTGTTTAGCAACCTTTCAATAAATGTTTATGAAAATCAGCAGATGTTTATGGGTAAACATGGTTGTTACAAAACCTTTTTGTTGTTTGAAGGTGGATGTTTGTGAGGAGGAGGGTAAAAAGGGAATGTAGATGAAGCATAAATGCATCTACTAAGATTGTTTTTATTTTGGAAAGTCTCATGCTCACCATGGCTACATTTACAAAATGCATTATAAACAGCAGTATTGTAAAATATCACAGTTAAAATAACTGTTATTTTAATATATTTTTAAATATAATTTATTCCTGGGATGTCAAAGCAAAACATTTTCCTATTATTATAAATGTTGAAACCAGTAGTATTTACAGCATTTTTCCAGGATTCTTTGATAAAGAACATGCTCTGAATCTGAAAAAAAAAAAATACTTTGTTAACTCTGTGGCCTAGTGTCCAACACTTGTTTCTTTTGTTAACCAAGATAATGGATTTCTGCTCTGGTTTAAAGGCCGTTTAAAGACGGATTAGTCAGAAATAGTACTGTTCCCAATGACAGGATATAATACCCCTCATGCCTTCTGTTACATAACTTAAGGAAGTCAAGGTATTGCCAAGTATTTGTCAATACAAAGAAAGTGTTGTTTTTTATAGTAAATGTATGCCATGTCATGCATCGAAGAAGGATTACTTTTATAAACATGACATTTAAATTTTCCTAACTTTTTTGTAGATGTTTGTTTTATAATTAATATTTTATATATAGTTTCACAATAAAATGCTGGGTTGTTTCAACCCATGTTTGGGTCAAATATGGACAAACTGTTGGATCAAATTAACCTAAATTCTAGCTTAATTTAAACCAACAGTTAGGTTTGTCTATTTGTGCAAGTGTAAAAAGTGTATTTAAAAATGGTACACTGTTTTTCATTATATATTTTCCATAATGTCACTGCAAACGTGGAACACAAAAAGTGAATTTTGAATTCTTTAAAGGCTTGCAGGTTTTTCTACTCGAAAAAGATTAGAAGCAAAAGTTATAACAATATTTATCAGTTGATTATGTTTGAGTTGACCCAAGCATGGGTTGAAACAACCCAGCATTTAAGTTAAAGGTTTTCTTCAGCAGAAAATAACTGTGTATTGACATCCAGTTTTGCAATATGTATCCTCATTTATCCCTCTGATGCCTAAATCCCTTCAAAAATGCTATTGGCTGCTTAGCAACAGCGATTATACTGCTTTTGACCTGGCATGCCCAGGCCACTCCCCTTATAGCGCTTGTCTGGGATAGGGCAACCTGCCACTGTCCCTTGTAAAGTTAGCCTTGAGGCTTTGCAGTGGGTTCAGTCATGGCCTAGGCTGGAACTTGAACAGCGCTGTACGAGTAGAGGCGTGTTTTAGTATGCAGGGACAGCCCAAAAGTGTGCTGACAGCAGCCTGGACTGTGCCACATTCCTATGAGACAGACCATTTCTGCGAGCCAGGAGTGGTACTGAAGGAGGGACTGCTGGGGCTCATGGGTATTTTAGAGCTGGCAGTCTTTATATGCGTGCGTTTAGTGTGGTGTAGTGTTTACCACAGCACTAATAGGATTGATCCTGAGATATGGAGCTGTGAGTGCTGCAGGAGCCTGAATGAGATGTGCTGAACTGACATGTTTTGCCTGGTAGGACTCTGGTTTTATGCTTTAAAAAAAAAAAAAAAAAACTATCTATTCATAAAAGATTATAAATTACTTTCTATATAAAATAAGACAGCAAGTGCAAAAAGGCTATTAGAAAGCCATGGTTGTTGTTTTTACAGTTACAAGCTGTGGACATTTGATTTAGGAGAGATTACTTTATGAAATTCATTTTATATATATAAATTTAAAGCAAATTTTATAAAGTTTTTGCAATCCCTCTGCATGTTTTCATTTACTTTTTTTTATATAACATTAACTGACATGCTGTTAAATTATGTTTGTTTGTTATGCCATATGCTATGTTGTTATCTTATGCCATAAACCGAATTAGTGTCAGAGTTTTTACATTTTTAAATTACATTTTTCCAGTTTGGGTTCTTAACAATTAGGCTGCTTTAACCCTCAAGAATGAATGATTCATTGTATTTCACGGTTGCTTTTTATGAGAGTTCAATTTATCAGTTTTATGTTCCTTAAGCGATGAAATAAGACGCATTCATCAATAATTCTCCCGGCGGTAGTGAAGTATTAACAGAGGGGCTCTTGTGAATGCCCAGCCCTTGCATGAGCAGTCGGACTGTAAATGACTAAGCAAACTGTTAGTTCCCAAGGTAACCTTTCACTCAGTCAGCGTCAGCGAGCCGAGGTAGGAATTCTTGCACTGCCTTTATAATCGGAATATTTGGGAGAGAAAAAGAGTTATAGTTGTATTTATCATCATGCTTTTATGTGAGAAAAGGATGGGAAATGGATGGTTTTGGTACCTTTGTTCAATTGATTAACTTCAAAATTATATGCATTTTTAATGTTCAAGCAGCCAAATAAGGATTTGCTTAAACCTGTGAGAGTGTAATATTACTGACACGCATTATAAGACACTAAACGTTGAAGACAACATTGCTTGCTGTCAGATGCTTAAATGTCAAAGTTTGCGTTATTAGTATTTTTTCAACAGCAACCACAGATGAATATCTATTATTGATAGAGTTGACATTATAAATGCTAATTCAAAGTGGCAATGTTGTGTGATCACGTTCACCTTGTGAGCAGACTCTGATTCTGTCATTTGTAATACTGCTTTTTGTGTAGTTTCATCCGTATATCAGAGTTATCTTTATAGTTAGTGGCATGTTCACATGTTGTGATTGTATGGGTTTTGTTATTTCAAAAGAAGCTTGACAGAGAGCTTGTCTCTGCATCTGCATAACTGGCCTCTCTCCTCATTGTACCAGACAGAAGTGCATTAGAGCATGCAAGGCCTTTCCCTCAGCAGAGGCAAAGTATGCCATGCCTCTTCCACCCCTGTGGAGTAGTGCAATGATGTTAATGTGGGGAGACAGAACCCAAAAAATAAGTAGTCTGGCCTTAAGTAATATTTGGGTCATTCTGTATTTTCAGCAGATTGCAAATGGATGTATATTAAATCTTGAAGAAACTGTATTGGTCATCAGATTTCATAAAATTAAGTGGAACATTTTGGAAGTTTTAGTGTTTAAGTCACAGCAAGCCTTCTTTGTTTGAAAAAGGCATGTGAAGCTGAGCTGTTCTGTCACAGAGCTAGATCTGTCCCTATACTAAACACAACGAGGTGTTTTCACCAGCACTCAGGACTGCTTATGTAAATACATGTGCTCCAACTGACCCGCACACTGGTCTCCATCTAACCAGTCATTTGTCTGACACTCAACACATTACATTCAGCCCACTAGACTGCTCTATCTTTGGCCCTGTCCCAAATGGCGCACTTCATGCGGACTTTCGGTCTCGTGGACTTAAATTGCGTGTGCTCGCCGAGTCTACGAGTCCGTAGGCCGTCCCATTTAGCATTTTAACTCTCTGAAGTGTGCTCAGCAGCGCCCCCTTTGTACCCTTGAAGCGGTCTTCTGCGAAGCTCGCATAGATGCAGGCTCCACGCACATTAACTACCCAATCAGACAACGGATGGGAGGAGATTTCGCTCACGGACAATTGTTAACATGAGAAGAAAATATTTAAGTGTAATTATCATTACGGTTTTTATGACAAGTTTATACAAACATTATGATCATCGACCAGTGGTTGATGTCTC